AAGAAAGGGAGAGAACCGCAGACGAAAAAGGAGAGAAGAGCGACCGAGAAGAGAGTGGACCGTTGGTAGAAGAAAGGAAGTTGCGACTCGAAAAGAAGAAGATTCCCCATCGAAGCCCACAATCGGACCGCTACGACAGAAGCCTTGCAAGTCCCTTAGGTACTCCGTCCACAATATTTTTATTTTCGGATCTATATTTAATTGTCGAAAAAGAACGGGGCCTCGCGTGAGGAAGGTTAACGGAAAGGGGAACGTCAGGCTATTTCGTTATTTGTTACAATATCTGTCGGGTGTTGGACTGTTTATTGAGATATATATTGTACCGCGTTTTTCTTTTACTAAAATAAACCTTTGTTTGCCTGATCACACGTGTATACCGATTTTTCATTGTCCTTCCCTTTGTTCTTTCTATCGTATATCTGTAACCGCAGACCACGTGCCTTGCGGAGTTTACAAGCCTTACAAACTTATAATGCATTTTTCAATTCCTGAAAAATACTGTAACTACTAAAAATTTTTTGCATAGTACTTTCTCCATTATAAAACACTTCAATTGTATGTTTTTCATTTATATGATTTTGCATTCATATATTAAATTTTTACATTTCAAAGTGAATACAGTAGAGCATCAATTATCCAAAACAATTCAGGACTGGGGTTGTTCAGATAACTGATCATTTACGAAAAAATATATTAAACACAAAACTGTACGGTATATATTTTGTATCACACGTCTTACAAATACATACTTTATATAGTGTAGTACATTAAACTAAGTCTACAGTTTAGGTTGGCAGGAAGGGGGAGAGTGCTGCAGCACCATAGCACTAGTGGAAATTTGAATTTGTGGACTGGAATGCTTTCAGTTAACTGATGTTTCAGTTGACTGGTATTCAGATAATCGATGCTCTACTGTAATGCATAAGTGCTGTAGGGTACTGAAAAATATAAAGTATTAAAGCAATTATTAAAAAAAATGAAAAAGTTAATAATACCTAACATGTGATGTCATTTCCAACAAATTTTCCTGTTTAGTAAATTGGTCCATCAACTCAGCACATTGAAAATTTTTGCTTTCTGAGTTGATGGACCAATTTAGGTATTATGTTAGGTATTATTAACTTTTTCATTTATTTTTAATAATTGCTTTAATACTTTATATTTTTCAGTACCCTACAGCAGCGGTCCCCAACCTTTTTATCGCCGCGGACCGGTCAACGTTTGATAACTTTACCGCGGCCCACTGAGGGGGGACGTTGATTGTTCATATTTTACATTGATTTAATTTAATAATTTTAATTTAACTGTATTTAAACGTGCCTTCAAAATAAAATACAATTACACCAAAAAATGAATATAATGTGATTTAACATTTTAACTCACTAGAAAGCTAAATCAATGAGAACCCTGAGCTTGTTTCTTTGCAACGAGACAGTTCCATCTGGGGGTAATAGAAGACAATGACACTCGAAGTGTGTTTCTTATGTCCAGTTTATTCCGCTGTTCCGTCGTCTATTAAAAGTC